ATTAGTATCGATTTACGGTTCATTGTTAAATGAGTTGGTTAAGACCTATATTGACGGTATATAGTTAGATGGCTTTTTTTTTTTTTTATAACGCGATGGAAATCCTCATGGACTTCCCACGCCGTGGGGACGACGAGGGGGTGTGCCGGACTCTTACCGGCTAAAACCACCGCGGTGTTCCTCCTCTGCCTGTGGCCGTGACCCGGGACGCCCTTGCGGATTCACCGCACCCGGCAGGCCTCGACCTACCACTACATTGTGGCAGGTCCCACCACGTAGCAGCCCTAAAAAGCTGCGATTTTCTTCCTCGAGTGGCGCGCGTGAACACACCGCTAACGCCTACTCCCGCCCATACAGCGGACGACTGACTCCCCTAATCAGTCGCCGAAGGTCTCTCCTATGGAGGTCGCAGATCAGCTACCACCTCGCGGCGTTGACGGCCGGCGCGTCTACGGCGAGAAGGGAGAGAGCTGGACGCCTCCCTCTCCCTTTCAGCCGCCTCCTTTGCCAACATGACACGTTCACAGAAGGAAGCGACTCCATCCCATGCACTCTCACTGTCAACCATAGCTCGCACTACGGTCGGCAATGAGAGATCATTCCCTCATAGTTAGATGGCTTGGTTGAACATTGAGTATGTACTATTTAATTAAGGGTTGTTATTTTGGCATATGTAAATATCTTGAAAGATTGGTCATATTTAATATTATCAATAACTTTTCAGATACCGAAGTTTAATAACTTCGGTATCAAGAAAATTTCCGAATTTCCGAAATCCGTTATAAATAACGAAAACGAAAACCAATCAGCTCATCAGTATGTTTCAATTCGATCGGTATTTTCCAGTTACTCCAATCAAAAAGCTAGACTTTTGACTCGTAAAACCTTTTCAAAGCAGGCCATAATATCCCTCAATAGGGATGGTGACAGGGTATGAAAATGAAAAATCTATTTAGTCCGTCAGTTAGATAATTAAAAAAATATTAGACAAGTAATTTTTTGTTTTATCGTGTAAGAAAGCAGTACTTAGATAAAACGAATCAAAATTTAGGAGTGGGAGGTAGCTGCGTCATTTTAGAGTGTAAATCGTAATCAAAAGTGACGTCATGCGTCATTTCAAATCAATACATCTTCGAAACTATTCGTTTCCGTAAGAAAATAAAAAATACGTGTCTAATATTTTTAAATAATCTACCAAACGGGCATAAAAATAAAAATTAGTGATCTACCCTATTATTAAATTTTCGAATCCATCAAGCAACAAACAAAATACATTAACCACACACTGAGCAACACTCAACCGACAAATACGTATAATAAAATTACACAAATGAGACCAACTTTTCTTTTGACGACAGTGGAAAACTAACCCTAAACCTTAAGTAGAAAGGTTCTCTTTACCAGTTCCTCTCTAGATTAGCTACACACCAAGCAATACAAAACCAGTATAAATTGACCGTTGTATTGGCGGGAAGGACATATAAAGCAAGACCATGATGAACTGGTATTGAATAGCTTGTGTACTTGCATCTAGTCTTGTCCATTCTGCTTCATGCATGATTCTCCGCATGATCTGTGTGTCATCTCCTTAGTTCGGGATGCTTGGAATATTCATTGACCAATTTAACTAGCGACGTTTGAGCAAGGATTGGCTTCGATGTAATATGGAGTTTATGTAGGTACTTGGTACAATGTGTTTGATTGAGTTTGGGAAGCGAATTAATGTTACTCTGTGTTGGGGCAGGGGTCAGTCTTGAGGGAGAATTTAAATCATAGATTTTTATATAGCGGCTTGAAATGAGTTTGATTTTTTTTTATGAGATACACCGTAAACGAACAGATGGATCACCTGATGGTAAGCCATCGGCGTCGCCCATGGATATCTAGAACACGAGAGGTATTACAATTGCGTAATGAGATCAGATATTTGAGGATTAGTGAGCAATCAGGAATTGGGGAGGGGAGAGGGTGATTGGACCACACTCACACGACGAAACACAACGCAAGCGTTGCTTCACGTCGGTTTTCTGTGAGGCCGTGGTATCACTCCAGTCAAAGCGGCCCATTCGTGCTGAAGTATGGTTCTCTCACACTTATTGAACGATTGGGCCCTAAATCAGAAGACTTAGTTTCCGCTTTGTAACAAAGTTGTGAGTTATATAATCTTACTTCTTTCTTCAATCTTATTCCGGAAACTACTGAGCGAAATCATCATTTAAGACCGCCGACCACATAAACTTGCAATTAGGATTTAGCTTAGAACATTGTTATCTCTTAAATGTAAGACTAGGGTAATACTAGGGTAATACTAGGGTATCAATGTAATGACATTGATACCCTAGTATTACTAGGTAAAATTAAGACAGCAGCCAATTCCAAACATAATGCAATGCTTAATCAAGCAATCACAAACCAAACAAGAATCACTTACATTATTTTACCGAACCAGTCAGTCATCAAGACACCGCCTTCTGACCGTCAGTTAAAAGCAAGTCAAGCACAATGATACACACACACACATAAACAAAGATATAATAATATAACATAACACTAAGTACCATTAAGGTTTACACAAGATCATGCCACTTGACCCTAAGAACATAACAGCTCCGAGACATCCATTCCTGTTAATTCCATTTAGTGGATGGGCATAGGTTAATAGAAATTGCCTCTGTAAGGCCCCTTTATAATTTAGCGGTAACATTACGTTATACTGGCCTTGTTACATGCGCCATATGAGCATTATTTGAAGGTTAATATAGAGATAAGAGACCAAAGTCAAGACATTTGCCTTATGTTAATCTAATTACAGTTTTAAAAGTCGACACACTTTTACTGAATAAGATCGTCAAAAATCTAGCAGTAAGTCGTATCTTCTTTTAGCTCATTAGGTGACTGTTCATAGATAACTGTGACTCACAAAAAATACCCTTTTTTCGACCGATTTCGCTGTCCAATTTAAATTACCTACTATATAAAATAAGTGTTGTTAGATTTCAAACATAGTTGGCTTTCGCTAAATGGCTATGTCATTAAATCGGGCAATTCAGACCAAATGTAATCAAGTAAAAAAAAATGGTTGCCTGTAAAGTCGTTTTTACGGGCGAAGATTTTACGTGACAACGTCTTTTTCTCGGTAGAATATTTATTGATATGAATATAATTAAATTGCACAATAGGAACAAGGAATTGAATGAACTAGTGCTGCGCGCGCGGCAGACCGATCATAGTTGAGTGGGAGAGAGACGCAAGGCATTCGGCGGGCCTCTCTCTCGTTCGGTGACTCATCGTAACGTTACCGAGCGTTACACTTTTTCATAAGTGACTCCCAGCCGCAACCTAATTTAAGACGTTGTCACGTCAATAAATAAAAAGAAATTGCAAATGTTGTTTAAATACTACAAAAGTAAGACAACTCTAATAGACAACTTGACTTTTCATTTTCCTAAAGACAAAGATCATTGTGACCCTACACATTAAGGTGCCTCCAAATCTTACCTACATTCCCTAAGCCCTAACATCGGGTCCCTTAGTAGTATGACATTAATAACGATTACCTAAAGCAGTGTATGTGCACGCAGCTTTGGAAGCCACGCCAAGATTTGGATCTTGAAATATTAGCCGAATTCGGTCTAAGGGATTCTGAGGATAGTGTGAATTTCGTTTAGTATTTCTGAGGTTATTTATGTATATTTATGTGATCGGGGGAATTGGTGATAGAAATGACATGGGAATTGAAAAATGGCGAAAGAAATTATTATTATGGACTACATATTATATGTGATAACATAGACACAATTGTTTACAGCACAATAATATTGTATTGAGTGTATGTTACCTAATGCACAAATATACATCTTTTTTTATTTAAAAAGACCCTTTGCCTTACACTAGGATTTCCTCCTTTGTTGTGGGTGCGTTTACAAATAAATAAATTCACATACATAATGACACCCAGACCCGAGAAAACAATTTGTGGATCACACAAAGTATTGTTACGTGCGGGAATCGAGCCCGCGACACTTTGCACGACAGCCGGTAGCCCAGCCACCGCACCAACCGTGCAGTCAAGTCTTCTCATTAACATAAGGAATGACGATTATAATCATCGAAGTAGCCAGTGGCAGTCCACTACTAGACCAGAAGTTCAATATAGAGGTAGACGTGACAGCCATTCAGTGACTTGGCGAAAAACGTTTTGTTTCATATCGTGTAAACCAATTTATTAATAAACCACAAAAACTAAAAATAACTAAAACACTTTAAAAACTTTAATGGAATTTGCCCACAGGCTATCCGCAAAAATTCTAAACCGCACAAAACGGCTTGTATCACATAACCATGAATCAGGTCTGAACGGTGCAAAGTTGGTATTCCGATGTAGCACCGTGAGCTATTCGGTGTGATGGGCGCCCGTTGGCACCGACCCAACTTACGACCATCGATTTACATAACTTGTACAAAAGATCAAAAATCTATTTATACTGTTTGGTGGCTTGTGACGGTTTTGCCTTGTTTCAAGTCAGCTTTTTGCTGGTTTTTAGGTTTCATGATATTATTTATCGATACGTTTTCAAAAATTATTAAAGCATCACCAACATTGAAAAGCCTATTATATTTATGATTAACTCATATTACTTATAACAGTTTAAGATTCTACAAAAGTGAATTAAAACATGACGGAAATTCAACACAATCAATAGAAATAAAGTTCATATTGATAAAAACTCTTCATAATGATTGGCATTAACTCGTCGAGTACCGGTTTTGTAGACACAATTATAGAACAATAGGTTGCGGTCAACACCAAGCACCAAACACCAAGCGGTCACCGGTGACCGCAACCTATTGTTCTATAATTGTGTCTATAATGACGGTACTCGACGAGTTAATTTGGAAACTTTTAAACATTATCCCCTATATGCAGCATTCCCATCTCTTCTTACTGTTACTAACTTCATGTTTACTGTGTTATTCAATATTGTTTTCTATTGTTACAGAATCTAAAAGATCAAATTCTGACGACGAACGTGTGGTTGGAACACGTAAGTAACTTTGTATCAAATTATTTAAATACATGCAAATTGTTGACGAACTGCGATGCATGCCACCACTGCAGGGATCAAAGTGACGTCATTTGTAGGACATGTGTCCAAGAATGGGGTAACCGAAACAGCTTTACGTGAAAACATAGAGAAATCCAAAATATCACATGCTCAACAAAATTCAAAGCATATAGATCATTATAATTCTTATAGATCTTTTGAAACCTGAGAGATATTTTGTGGATATGCAGAATATTTATGTCTAAAACATCCATCTTGAAATAATGAAGTTTGAATCATAATTATCGCTACTCTGATATTTTAACTTATTTCTTTAATATCTAGGAATGGGAGGACCACAAGTTCAAATGGGACCCCTTGGAGTACGGGGGCGTGAAGGAGCTCTACGTACCTTCGGAACACATCTGGTTGCCTGACATAGTACTTTATAACAAGTAAGCAAATATATCTATAATAGTAATCTTTGGAATCGCAATTAGGGGAAACAACTTTTTTATCTTTTCTTTTTTTTATAAAACGTTGCCCCACACCTAGGATTTTCTCCTGTCGTGGGTGCGTTTACAAACAGACAAGTTCACAAACATATCACACCCAGACCTCGAACAACAAATTGAGGATCACACAAAAAATTCGTGCGGGAATCGAACCTGCGATACGTTGTGTGGCAGCCGGTTGCCCAGCCACCGCACTAACCGTGTTGTCAAATATGGTATAGCTAACTTATACTAAAATCATAAACACCTAATTAAATTGCAATCAAATTGCAGTCTGAAGTTTATATTCCATTAATATTGGAAAATCAAACACCAGACAAAACATTCAGATTGAAGTTAACAATGAACTCGTCCCGATTCACCAAAACAATATAAAATTAGATTTGAGAACAGTACTCAAAACCCCCATTAGAGAACTCATAGGTACTCTAACTACACAACGAGCGACATCCGATACGCCTCGACTGCGAATACGTTTAGCAAATTAATTTCACAGCTCCGAACTTGCCCGTCCAACATTTGGACATTAGCTTGCACCAAATTGCATTGTTGTACCACCAACTTGTCTGTAGATGCCATAATTGCAAGCGGCTTTATGCCCCTCTCGTTGATTAAAATATTTCGCGTTGTTGTAATTTTGTTTTGTATGTTCTACTAATTATTTGATAACAAAGTTTTTTTTGAGATATAACTTACTGGAAATCGTGTTCCAATTTAAGAAAAGCCTTTTAACATAACTAGAGCTACCCAAGATCTCTACACGGTAACTTAATATTCGGAACGCAACAAAAACCATGGAACCCCATAAAGTCGGCGAAGCAAGCTTCTCAAATCAGAGGATACGCTGAGATTTAACGAGTCAGTTGTTATGGACAGTACATTCCCATCCCATGATGCATGGCGTTCCCTCCTCTCAGTACTAGGAACACATAAATCATGCGGTACATGCGTTCCACTTAGATACAAGGATCTTGATAGCTTCTTGCCATGCCGTTTGTTTTGCAATGGTTGTGCCAAAAATGTAATCGGGAAAGAAATTGGGGTTGTGCTTAAAATTTATATAAATACTAATTACATTTGTAACGGAGAACCAAACTATAAGCAAGTATATTACTTACTCGAAAACAAGAAAATGTTTGACAACCCTTTGCCAGACAGCGGTCAAACAACATGGACGTTACCAGACCAGACTAAACAAAAATAGATCACGAATGTAAACATTATTTGTGTTCACAAGTCGCGACTTCTACCAAAGTAGGCAATGTATCCTTAGCCTAATTGATTGAACGAAATATCGACAAGAAAGCGTTCGCGAATGATACATCATGTGTGTCAAAACATGCCGGCAAACGATTAATCATGGGCAGCGAATGAGAGACGCACGTGCGACTAATCTTACGCTGTGTCGACCCTGTATAAGCGGCTTAAGGCTTAAGAGAATGGAGGCAATACACTTCGAGGGTTAAGCTAATAAGTAAATCTTTCGTTTTTACCGTTTTGTCTGCAAGTGGCTTTTGATAGGAAGAAACTAATAAAAGGTAAGCTTTTCCAATATACAACTGGTTTACTTTTATTTTTAGGTTCAGGTTAATAATGGCGTACTTATTGACCAGGGTATCTTGTACTGAATTTTGTGGTATAGGATTTAAAAAAATGTTATCCTTAATTGTTGCAAAATCTCGAAAACTTACAACCTTTTGGTATGACTTACATAAAAAAAATATATCAACAGCTTTTTACGTCATTGTAGAGAACTACATGATGATGATGGCTGTTGTTGGATTGGATGGATGTTTGTTATTCAATATTCGGCTTCAATATCAACATGAAGTCTGAAATAAAGCCTAAGTCTTTGCCTGGTGTATAGTAATAGGCTCATTCCCATTATATGAACCTCCTAAATGAAGAAATATTTAAATCGCATATCTCTCATGGCTTGTATCCCATCGTCTTTGAACCGTACCGTCCCTTCACGTATCAGCTGCCTTTTGATAGGTTTATGGTGGCTGTCATAAATTGGGCAACGCACTACGTTGGACCATAATATGCTATAACATATGAATATTGTGAATCTTGTGTTTATGATATACGGGTTGTGATAGGTTCCTTGTTCACTTGGGTCCAAGAAATTGGTATGGTGGTACTCAAAAGATAACTACAAATTCTCGACTGCACGGTTGGTGCGGTGGCTGGGCGACCGGCTGCCGTGCAATGTATCGTGGGTTCGATTCCCGCACGGAACAACACTTTGTGTGATCGACAAATTGTTGTTCCGGGTCTGGGTGTTATATGTATGTGAATTTGTATGTTTGTAAATGCACCCACGACACAGGAGAAAATCCTAGTGTAGGGCAACGTTTTTAAAAAATAAATTGCTTGATATTTTATAAACGTAACTTAAATTGTTCTTGTGGATAAAAAAATCTTTGAAAATCAAATCGTGACATCGTCAAGGTCTAATCTAATCCACTGTTCTCTAGCTTTGTTTAAGACTAATATTTCATATAAAGTATATAACTCCAAACACACTATATAAACTCTGAACTGCTTTAATGTTTGAAGTCAAGAAATCAAGTACAACAATGGGTTAGAGTATGCCCAATATATATTTTTAGGTATTATAACCTACTACACTACCATTTAACCAAAACCAATAAGAAACTTTAGAGATATAAATAGTAATATATTGTATCCATCACTAACGTTACCCTTCTTTGTTGACCAGTGCTGACGGAGAGTACGTAGTGACAACAATGACGAAAGCAGTTCTGCATCACACTGGCAAAGTGCTATGGACTCCTCCAGCCATCTTCAAGTCCTCGTGTGAGATCGACGTGCGCTACTTCCCCTTTGACCAGCAAACTTGCTTCTTGAAGTTCGGGTCTTGGAGCTATGATGGTGATCAGGTATGATCTAGAAACTAACCGTAAAGAAGATAATTGCTTGTTTTCATTGTTAATTAGAAGATCCAGAATTATTTTTTAAGAAAATAGGTTATAGGTATAGGTTATAGGCTTTCTGAGTTCAACTGTGTCCGATTACATGAGTGCACGTGCACTTAGGCGAAACCCACTTTAGAACATTTTAAGAATATTTGAGGTTGTTTCGTTTAAATCGAAACTAGAAAAATATCAAAGTTCAACTAGAAGTCACTAAAGCTATTCTATCGACTCTCAAATGTAATAAAGCGAAAACAGAGAAGGTAGAAAATGATACACATTAAGCCTAATTAAGACCAGCTTAAGTCAACCAGTGAAAGGACACACTACTTCAAACCTTTAATTATATTAAGAAAAACACTTCATCCGTTATAGCGTCTATAAAAGACATTATAAGCTTCCTAATGTAAATTATCCAAACGCAATTAGTTAATTGGGATTACTTAAAATTTATGGCAGATCAAAGAAATTTAATGGAGGCCTTTTTCATTTGTTTTATGCGAGAAAAGTGTATTAAATTAATTATTAATTCATTGTTGAGTTTTGGAAATAGAATCTGAAATTATGTTTTCGGGATATTTGTAATGTTTTGTTCCTTTACATTATTTATGATCCGGTCTATCTATCTGGGTTGTGTAATGTTTTTAAGCCGAATATCTTCAAAGGGTCTTGTACGTATTTTTCTTCATGATTACATTAATAAAAATGAACAGTGGTGTAACTTTGACAATTGAGGCATGTTTAAACAAATGGAATGATCTATTCTTTTTTAAAAAATACATATTAAAATTTCCTTTACATCTTGGAAATTTTCTACTTTTTCTGAAGCTAGCATCCTCGTTTAAAAAAATCAAAAATTAGTGTCATTTTGTAAAGTTGCCAAAATGTAATAATGCCTACAAACTCCGTCGATAATCTCTCCAGTTTATCTTTTGAGAATTTCAGGTCCACCAAAAATCTCCTTTAGCTTAGTTAAACATCTTCACTAACATCTGAAGTCTACTTGCAGATTGACTTGAAGCACATCAATCAGAAGAAAGGTGACATGGTGGACGTCGGCATCGACCTTCGGGAGTACTATCCTTCAGTGGAGTGGGACATCCTTGGAGTGCCAGCTGAGAGGCATGAGAGGTACTACCCTTGCTGTCAGGAACCTTATCCTGGTAAGTTGAAGAATGATGATGAAGAAGGTAGTCATAGATGTCAATAACTACTTTAAAAAATTTCATATCTATCTTTTTCCTTTAAACATAAATATATTAAACTTAAAATATACCAAAATAACCAATAAAAAAGAACTAAAAACATATAGTCTAAAATAAGCGTCAAAGAACTCGTCCGCATCACTGTCAATGGGGAACGTTCACACAAGACTGACAATAATAAAACAAACAAATCTATTTTAGCTATTTAATAAAATATATTTCCTATGTAGATCTAGATTCATCTAAATATATGTAGTGCTGTAAATTTATATAGACTGATTATCTAGTGTATTTTCTTAATAGTAAAATCATATTCACAGGAAACTGAACATACATTGATCCGTGGCTCCGTATTCTATGTTTTTTTTGTGTTTTTATATTTTCTAACTGATTTTCTTCCTTCTTTCTTTATCCAAACAACTTCCAAAACTAACCTCTCAATCTGTTATCAGTTGACAAAATAAAGAAAGTCCCTAAAATAACGATCCGAAAGGATTTAACACAACAACGCACCAATATAAATCTAATCAAAGTTTACAACTAAACAAATTACTTGTTCCCAACTTGGATTGGATAATATGCTTACAAACTTGCAAATATGGGTTACCAACTCCAACTAAGAAGTGTTATTTCTCCTATGAATAGAAAGTTCTTAGAAAATATAGCAAATATTTGTATTAAATCTCGCATAGTTGATCTTTGTTCAAGTAAAGCTGTGTGTTCGGTAGTTTGTAATGTTTATTATCACTTTGATAAGACAATGGTTGCTCGTGATGTTACTTAATGAAGTAAGTTTGCTTGATTTAAATTTGAGCTACGCAATAGGCAATTAAATAGGAACGCTAAAGAGATATTATTGGTAGGTAGAGTTGATTTGTTAAAGAAAAAATTGTGACATCGGGTGATGGTTTCGAAATAATTACATGATACTTTTTAGCATCATACTAAGCAATATATTCATGGTGCTGTTAACAAAAATCTCATTGTTACTTTCTTATCAAAAAGTTCGCATCTTATTTGTAGTGCATACATAGTTGCAATTGTAGAAGTTACTCTCACATGTAACCAGTTAAGGAAAAACGTACCGTTATCCTACGACATCCCTCGACCTTCATAATACACATCACAATAAAATTCATCTACAAAATCCCTGTCAGTTCCAATCAAGATCTTGGCATCCGTAACCGCAAATCTTAACTAAGACCGCGATCTTTCGGGACAATCCTTTTATTTCCGAGAGATGTCGCACAACGCTAATCTGGGAAAGTTGTAAATTACAAGTGGAACGACGAAAACTCTTATCTATGCAAAATTAGTGAGTTTTACTGCTACCATGTCGCGTTCGCCAGGTTAAATGGTTGTTTCTGTAATGTCTTCGAGTGCGGGCCTTGAATGTAGATCAGCATTTGATGCTTCCAATTTATCATGTTAAGTGGCACTGTTGTGTACTCATTGTCTCCTGAAGGAAGATTAATAGAGTATTGGAGAATTGGAGATAGGCTTTATCTAAGCTATACAAAAGGCTTAAGTCAAAAAGAAATTCTAAAGAAAATGCCGCACAATGTCAACGTCAGCATACTATCAATCTAATATCAACTCTGTTTCGTCTGTGTTAAGGGTGTCTTTTCATGAAATGCTCGAAATACAGGAGTTTAATAGAAATGTTCAGTAATAGTGGTAGAGGTATCTAAACCTCTTTGTGCAGGAGTTAATCCGGATAACCACTAACAGTGTTCCTGGTACCGCAGTCTACAGCGTTCTAGTTTAATAAAATAGGTGTATCAAATACCGACGATAAAACAGAAAGACGAAGTATTTAGACGTTGTTTATTAGATGATCAAGAACCATTTATTTACTGTATAACATTGTCTGACCACTTCCAAAAAAAGCTAATTACTATACATTAACTGAGTTCCTAAATTAAAGGATAATGTAGGTTTTCGTTATAAAAATAATGCCATCAATCACTCGAGATTAAGCTATAATAACATACACCCACAAACTTCAAGATAAACAAACTCATTTAAAAAAAACCGCAAGTGTCAGAATCGCCGTAGATATAAAGGCGCTTGAACGGACAAAAGGCTTTCGAGAGGTCCACTTGATGCCTATAGAAACTCCCTTCTTTATGCACTTACAGTCAATTGTTAGAGAATCAAGCAGTTTACGAAGCATTCTAGTGCTACCACTTATGACAACAAAACACAGACTTCACGAGAAAACTTCACTTCCAGTAAACGTTCCTAGACTTATTCGACGTTGTAAATGAAAAACAAAGTTTGATATTTTCTGTTTTATTACTGTGATGAAAGTTTTTATAGGGTTAAATAACAAAATGTTTTATGATAAAAGATAAACACTGAACGAAGCTATGCGGCCGCTCTTTTAGGCACGCCAGCGACGGAGGAGCGAGGAATATTTTATGCTTATATTTATACTGTGTACACTTTTGGGCTTAATTGAAATAAAACATTTAGGTCAATATTCGCAATGAAAGTTTTTCTAATTATTTTTTATTTGTTTAATCTCAATATACAACACGTAAAACGCAACCAAACTCGTCTAAAAATAAAAAGGTAAACAAAAACAAACGAGCAGATGACTAGACACATTTACACAAATCCTGCGCCACTCCATATGATACTCGAAATATAATGAGACTCATCAATTTAACGGACAGATGTCCCAAAATTACAAAGACCAGTTTAGACGCAGTCCGCACATATTTTTCTTGCTCCACTTTCGTAGTCCTCATACATCTCGACGATTTAACAACCCATACTCTTTGGGTCCAGTCATTGTTATTCACGTTTCGCAGATGCCCATCAGTTGGATGACGTCACACCCGTCCTTACACGGCATACGTAATTTCGCTTACGAACCTTCCCATTTAACAAACGTATATTTCACGTTTAGATAAACACATTTGGAAGTTCATAATGACGCCCCACTCATTTCAGCTTAACAGCTCTCTGGAGATTTTCAACCTTTTTTTCCGTTGATACATTTTTATGGTCCACACCTTTCGCGGCTTGTTTGATTAATTTTTTTGTTATGAGGTCAAATGGTTTTTAATTTTGAAGAGTTATGGTTATCAAAGTTTAAAATATTGTTCTATCTTGTGGGCCTTTTCAATAATGCTGGATGAGCAGCGATTTGCTTTAATACGAAAAACAACATTGATAATTGGTGTGTACTTTGAATCAATCTCTTTTCTTTTCTATTGTACGTTTATAGGTGTCATATTATTCTCGTCTTAACTAATTTCAAACTTTTTAATAGCAGCCTAATTTAAAAAGATGATGTTCCCTTAAATGTTCGACACCAATTTCACAAACAGCTAGAATACCCGTTCGAATCTTGTAACAAATAGCAAACTATCAAACGGAATTTTAGTACTCATCGGTTGTAATCCTAGAACGGTGTAAGTTGTAATGTTCCTCTTAATTGCAACATCCTCAATGACTAGTTAAATCTGGGCAATTTGCCGCTACAGTAGTCTGTAATTACAGTCGGCTCCTCAAAGACTTATGCCGTCAAATTAGAAATCCCCTTTTCGATACCCGGATGATGATTGCTTGTGCTTCGTTTGGGAACTAGTGAAAGCAAAGGTTTTGTTTTTCTTTACACAGTTATTTTTGGAACCTTGTTCGAGTAGTTGGTTGTCTTTGACTTTTCTATTTCAACATTCTTAGCAACAATGTAAAGTCAGATTTTTAATATTGCTTTTTAAAAAAACATTATTCATCAAAAAGCAAACGAGAACATAAACATTGAAAACTATTTCACTCTTCAAAAGAAGAATAACGAAGAACAAATTTACGTAGCGGCCCGACGAACTAAAACTTTGTCATTAAATACCATTTAATCTATTAAGTGTAGCATTAAAGATAAATCTGAGATCCTGAGAAACTTGGAGAACAAACAAATCGGTCAGCTGAAGGAGTTTATCTTTCTGTAACAGAATTCTTAGAGGAAACCTCATTCAGTATAGCAACTGACCGTAACGTGTTTCGGTCTAGACAATAAGATTCTTCACAAAGACTGAAATTAAATCCTTTGTCCATTCCAAAGTCTTCTTGACTTTACAAATAGAGGTTTTTATTAAAACATTTACTGTTGTAAATCTTAGGGTTAGCTTTAGAGCTAGTTTTGTACGTGATTCATACGTTCAGAGTTTTAAAAATATTATTTTTGCTTCAAACTGTTTGTTTATTCTCATCACGCATACAGTTTGTAAATTTATACAATAACTACAATACACATATAATACAATATAATTTAAGCCTCGCTTTAATGCCAAATTATATTTTTATTCATTATGTGCCAAAATGTGTATTAAAATACAATCAAGTAAAATTAATGTTAGAACAATGGTTGCTTACTTCCGAATAACCCAATATTTGATTGTTAAACAGTCTTAATAAAATTTAGGTCGAAATAATAGGCGAGGATTCTACTTTATCACATTTATTGCTAAAGAATTACTGATTCATTTTGTTTTCTTCATTGTTTTTACACATTTGTTCATTTTTTTGCAGAACGTGATTATTTTGTACATTTTTTTTGTCTGTATATTTCACAAATACAAACATTTCTTATTCCAGCATTTGTAACGTCAACTCATTTATAACATGTACGTATGTAATAATAACTATTATAAATTATTAATTCCTTGAACTAACTAACACTATTTGTTACAGATATCTTCTTCAACATCACGCTAAGAAGAAAAACCTTATTCTACACCGTCAACCTGATCGTTCCATGCGTCGGCATATCATACCTCTCGGTCCTTGTCTTCTATCTACCTGCTGACTCTGGAGAGAAAATTGCACTTAGCATTTCTATATTATTGTCCCAAACTATGTTTTTCTTGCTAATTTCCGAAATTATACCTTCGACATCCCTTGCATTACCATTGCTGGGAAAGTACCTACTGTTCACTATGTTGTTAGTGGGATTGTCAGTAGTGATAACCATTATAATACTGAACGTGCACTATCGGAAACCAAGTACGCATAAGATGGCTCCATGGGTTCGAAAATTCTTTATAACAAAACTTCCGAAGTTACTACTGATGAGGGTACCAAAGGACTTGCTTAGAGACTTGGCAGCGCAGAAGATAGCTGGGAGAAGTATGAAGAACAAGAATAAGTTTAAAGATGCTCTCGCAGCGGCTGAGCAGACGAATTCAAATGCCTCTAGCCCTGATTCCCTGCGTCATCATCTGCCTGGTGGATGTAATGGACTACATTCTACTACCGCTACCAACAGGTTAGAAAAAAATTTGGTCAATATCGTATACAATTCTTCTATTAAATAGGTTTGCTAAACAAAATCTTAATTCAATAGGTTTAGCGGTCTCGTGGGTGCTCTTGGCAGCCTCGGTGCTGGTTACAATGGCCTACCATCAGTCATGTCGGGTCTGGATGACTCTTTAAGCGATGTAGCTCCTCGGAAGAAGTACCCATTCGAACTGGAGAAGGCAATCCATAACGTTATGTTTATACAACACCACATGCAGAGGCAGGATGAGTTTAATGCTGTAAGTATTCTTACAAAAACACAGTTTCCGACATACTCACTCGATACTTGACAATTACTTAATCCAAATCCATCTTTTGTCAAACAGGAAGATCAAGACTGGGGCTTCGTGGCTATGGTGTTGGACCGTCTGTTTCTATGGATCTTCACTATCGCTTCCATAGTTGGCACCTTTGCTATCCTCTGTGAAGCACCATCTCTGTACGATGACACCAAACCTATTGACATGATGCTCTCATCCGTAGCCCAGCAGCAATTCTTACCTGTGGACAGTGGGGACTCATAGGTATATTCATAAAAGAAAGTTGATGTCCATGTGACGTCACTGATTTAGACGCGTGAGATTATACAAACTCAAGGAGTGTTGAGATGGTTATAATCAATGGTTGTTTTGACAGAATTTTTCTTAAACATTGTTGATAGTTTAAGTAGTTTTTATTGATACAGCAGTACTATGTCTGCCTTCTTGTTCATTAAAAGTTTTAATATACCGAAAACGTTCATTTGAACAATCTAGATTTCTAGAATCATTATGATCTTGTTGTATTCTTTAGAACTAAGCTTGTTTTCAAAATCTAATATTTAAAATTATTAAGGTCTGAAACTTCAAAGCTCCTGAAATTGCCAAGATAGGTCGGTCGACAATCTATCAAACAAATTAGTACTAAAATAAGACTTTTCCTCTTAAACATTAATTATCTTAATTAGACGTTGTAAAGCCAAAATAGGCTGTGAATTGTATCGTAACATAATGTAAGTAAGTTAAGGTTTCAAGTAAAAAGTTAGTGTTTAAGTTGGATGAAGTAGGAGGGTAATAAATTGTTCTTTCCCTCAGTTTGATACGGTACACTAATAAATTATTGTCTTATCTTATTTTTCTCGCTTTTAGATAACATTTTAAAAGAGTAAGGGACGGTAAATGAAGATGTTGAATCGATAGACGTTGGCGATTCTGAATTATTCATAAGAAAAGTTATATTGGTTTTCGATTTTTCCCAGAATTTTTTTCGGTCTATTAGTGGGGAAGAATCTTGTATTTACTCACACAATTGTATCTTCTGCGTAATCTTGGATTAAGCTAATCGAATTTAGACGAGAAACTTTTTCACTACTTGTAAGGTAAATCTCATACATGATAGAAGAAAATATGTTGATGGATATGAAACAATTGTATTAACTTTCGAATGCAAAAGTATTCCTATTGAATATTAAGGTCCCAAAACTGAACCTTGTGGGACACCACACCAAAATGTTTATAGGACGACTTTTGTAAAGCGCTTGGTTGCCAAAGTGGGTTATAAAGGTGGGGTAACACCATACGTTTTGGACGTAACATTTTCTTTGACAAAACATGGCTGTGTTAGTAATTAATAAAATATTGTAGTAATGAGGAATCATAATGCTCACCATTTATAGGATTAGATATTAATGACGTATATACACATTACGATTTTTTATGTATTATTATTATCGTGTTATTCAATTTTTAGTACAATTATTCATGTTATAGAATTTAAATTAAATCGAAAGCCATGATTCTGTGTAGCTCAGTCGTAGACAAATATATCAATTTTACTTTTTTTATCTTGTAATAGCAATAGAATATTAACTATTAATCTATCATATCTTTGAATGCCTGCTTAAACAACATAATTAATATTTTATGGCAACATATAAGATAATAGTCATACGATAGTATATGCCAAAATAGACTTTTAACTTTGTTATTAAAATATTAAACATTTCCTTTATTGTCAGATTATAAATTCAAACCTCATTTTGAAACAACGTTATAGTTTCTAATAACGTAAAACAAAACTATGTCATAGAGCTTTAAAGAATTTGAAATATAAACAGCAATTTTGCGACGATAGATGGTAATAAAGATAAGTTTATTAAATTGTGCTTTATCAAACTGTTAGAGTCCGCAGAAACCATTAACCATTTTGCCAAAATAAACAGAGTAGTAAAATTAGTTATATACATAAGTAAACTCATACATATAAGTTTAGTTTAACCGACTTTGTAGCAGTTAGTGTTATCCAAACCATGTTTATAAAGTAAACTTTGACTTAATAAATTGGCGACGTATGTTTTTATTTGTTTTAATTTATCTTCTGTTAAAACCTTTGTCAAGTTTAACCCTCATCATTTTTGTCTTGTTGTTATATTTATTTCATACATACAACATAACGCCTCGTTGACCGAGTGGTTGCAAGTGCGACTGCCGGGCAATGGATCTCGGGGTCGATTCCCGGGTCGGGCAGTGCTAGGATTTTTAAATAAATCTCAGTAATAGCACGGAGTCTGGAATTTTCGGTATATGGCAATAGGCTCTCATATACACATATTACATGGGACTCATAACATAAATAGTGAAAAGTGGGTGTTATATTGTACAGTGGCATTAAGTGCCGTAATGTGCACCTCTCCCTTTGGCGATAAAAGGCGTGATGTTATGTTACAACATAACGCCTTGTACTTCAAAGGATTGGATGAGATGTATTTACTAACTTTTAATCCGTGAAATCCGCGTCTGTTTACCACAAACAGAGATGCTTAAGCAATGTAACATCCACTTTCCACGAGTTAATATGTTGTCAGTCCCTTGTAGTGCAGCATGAACCAAAGCCGATTCTAGAGGTATTACTAGATTTTATAGAACTACCGAAAATACCCTAAAATGTCGAACCAGAGCCGAGCAAGATACGTTCGGCTCCCCGTATCAACTTGAATTCTCAATATGAAATAGTAACATCAAGAATAATTAAAAAAAAAAATAAGGCTTTCTTACTTCTTTGTGTGTTTTAAAACACGTTTACCAAAAATATTCATTTGTTTTATTTCTTTTACCCATTCAATTGTGTAAGTTCATTCAAAATAAACTATGCATCTACTGCCATGTATATGAAAATTCTGTCTAGCTGTTTGTAGAAAATAGCTGAAATTCTGAAACTGGTATTTGCTGTATGCTAATAACTACGATAGATCATGTCTGACGCGAAGCGGAACCCATCGCTATGGTATGCTGTTATATAGAAATACATTCATTTTGTTTGTTGTCTAGAATATTAAAGTGTATAAATAGTACTAATTTGAATGGACACAAGAAGATTGGCGATGAGATGTATCGGAATGGAATTTTCTCTTGTGGGTCTATTACATGAAGTGTACTTAAATCAGGTATATCATAATGTCTCACGTCAATACCCAAAGAAGAAGAAGAGAAAGAAGTAGCCAGAGGTACACATATGCGATATTCTTTTTTTATGGAATAGGAGACAAACGAGCAGCAGGTGATCCGTCTGCTCGTTTACCGGCTTATACCATAAAAAAAGACGGATCACCGGATGATAAGTGATCAGCGCCGCCCATGGACACCCGCCACACTAGAGGAGTCACATGTGTGTTGCCGGCCTTCACCCCAGATATGTTTTTATTATCTTGTAGAAAGCTTGTCATGCACTCAAGCTTATCAGCATCAAGGATTGACAGGTTGCATCCAACAGGATCTTTAACTTACCCATTAAAAGAGCACAAACTGGACATCACAACAACTTTAAACAAAATCAATACTCTCAACTGCTATTTCTATTTCTTCCCGAACCCTTACAGCGATCCAACTAAAAATACTAACAAATTCTGGTTCGCATTCGAAACTAGGAAATTTTCATCGAATTTTTCCACTCCGTCGACATTAGCCGCCGAGTTTAGCAGATATTTACTCTTTCCTGAATTATTCATTGGCACTGACCGATCACCGTTCGATTCCGGCTCGCTCCGGCTTCCGAATAAGTAATTTAGCAATTCAATTAGCTACGAGTTTTATAAAAGTCTTCAGGATTACATCTTTGAAAATGTTCTTACATGGAACTGCGTTTATCTGGTTGTGAAATTTACATAAGAGGTGTCAAAGGTAGGTACCTAAGGTATTCTTTGATAGTTTCTACATTACGGAAATAGCTGCAGACCGTTAAATTGTTTGTGACATTAGTCGGTACTTCTAGAAGGTGTAGAAAGGGACGGAACTGACTTATTCACATTATAAATACGAATTAAATAGTTACTTATTTGGCTTTACCTACCTACACATATTACCTTACCATTCACCCATTTTAACTAAAATTTATCGAAAATTGTAAAGGTATTTGATCAGCCAGAGTGCTTTTCCTCATAACACTGAAATTAAAACTATAACCTTAGATTATCTGTTATTATAGTACTTTCAATATAACGACTAGTTTTCAGGGCAGGGCAGTTATTAGGTTATTGACATCGACTACTGTTCTACTTTCTGCAGTCCTAGTACACAACCAAACTAATGTTTGTTATTTCTACAACAATAAGTAAAATATTACACTAATTATTCATAAAAACTCACTTATTAAGCCTTTCTTCTTATGTTAAAAGAAATTATGTCAGATATTAAATGTAACAAAAAAAATCTCCACACAAACCCTAATCATTTTCAATCCCAAAGGGCTGACGCTTCCAAAGCGTTCCTACGTACGAAATCTAAACAGAAATATTTTTCAATGTCAGCCCCGTCAGAAGCAGTGGTGATTAAAAACACGACGCCCCGGCTCTGCGCTCCTGGTACATGTGACTGGCTACGTTCCAAACTGACACCAACTTGGCTTCATGGTTTTTGTACTTTCCCTATTAGTATTTTAACTCAAATGGCTTTGTTAACGGTCCACGTAATCTTGTTAGATAGAAATGGACTCTCTTATCAGATTTGGAAGGGTAAAGGAAAATTCGAGAAGAATCTGGAATATACTTATCAAAGATGGGAAAATCTATAAGAAGCAGTTATTATTGGGGTCAGTTTTCCTTATCGAAAATAATAGAAAGTGTTTTTGTGAGTAATAAAAATATTTCCCATTTCTTGTTTATTTTCTGAACTATGTTCTGAATAACCACCCTGATTGAGCGAGAGTTTGCGTTGCAACGATCATTTTAGTGTTTGTCTGGTGGAAGTAGGATTTTAAAAATGGCCAGCCATCGCTTCGCGTCTAGTTCAAACACTGAGACTCCATTAATATCTCCTCGGAACGTGTGCTGAATCGTAAGTTGGGATCTAAGTATTTTTAAATGTACAATTGTCGAAAGAGATTGTTTAGGAATCACGTAACGTATTTTTCATAGATTTTTAACTACTGAAGGGGAGTAGACGAAAAAGCGGATCCTATAGAATTAAAAAAAACTATTAATTAATGTAAAAGAGTCAGTTAACTAAACAGAAAGTAATTTAAATAGATTATTGTACTGCAAACATATTAAAACAAATGAGAACGTTATAAATCACAATTAACACTATTTTCATTTCAATTATAAGTTTTTAATTTTCTTTTAACCTAATCTCCTTAGTTACCAAGCCCATATTTCTTTAAACTAACTGAGCTAGAAGTACCGGAGGAGAGCGGTGCGCTAGCGAGGGAGGTTCGATTCTATGTACTTCATTACTTGTTATTAAATTTGTCAGTCCAAGCGCGAATTAGCTGCCAGGCCACTTGACGTTAATAAACATTACGGACGTACCAGTAAGTTTTGAGCTACCAATCCTTGCCATTAATCCGCTAAGTCCTTCGAAATTCAAGGATTAGGGGAGACGAAGGGGCTCCAGTTATGTCGGTAGCAATTTTCCACTAGTTTCTAGAGTACGATCATCTTGAAAGTTTTATCTTTGCAATGCGAGAACTTGAAGGAACTAGCGACGCCCTCGGTTTGTCGTAAATGTAATTTTGACAAATCTATGTGTAATATCAGTTGTGAATAATATATTCGCTTGGTAAAGTTTCATAGGAACTTTTGTTACAAATTCACAGACCTCAAAGTTGTGGGTCAAAAAGGTTTTGTCCATGTTTCTAGTATTGGGTGACCGTGGCATGGAGATGATAACAAAGGGCCTGTGAATGTAACTGACGTTAACGCTACTTCTGCGTAGTTTGATTAATGCTTGCATTTTTGTACCAATGAGAGTGTTCATAAATTATACCATAGTGACCACTATAGCATTCCAAAAACTGGAATAATGGTTTTAAATGTATAGTATAAAAAGTTAATGTTAGTTTTAATCCTTAGTTTTTTCAAGACAAGCGTTCCCGACACTGAATACTAATATTGTCTTGAAAAAAGATTATTATTTTGCTGCAAAATTTCAGCTATACTACTAAAGAAAATCCTCAATACTTTTCTCCTTTAACAAGGTAACAAAAACCAGCAAAAACACCAAATCCCCAAAGAAAAATATTTACACGAGCAAAATATCATCGTTATAAAACTACGGATACTAGGAGTACATAAGCGACAGCGGCTGGTCTCCAACCCACTATCGCTAAGTTAGCGATAAAGTGCGAATAACTCGAGCGCCCGACTCGGCAAACTTGCTCGAGTGACAGACATGGCCGGGAATAATCTCTTAAGTTTTAGTTCATCGCCATCCATAGACTTGGTTGTGACGTATAGACGCCGTAAATTGTCAAAAGCAACTGATAAAACTGCTACGCTACGGCAATTGTTGCTATAACGTGAAATATTGCTGTATTTAGATAAATGTGTAAGTGTAAGTGAGTTAGACTTAAACTGGTTGGAATAGTCCGTACAACTTAGAATTTTAGGTGTTCTTCCATGAATTTTCTCGCAGACTTACAGTTCATTGCGTGGTTTTCTCACGTTTAAGTTGTCAATAAATAAGCTTTTTTTTAAGGGGGGGAAATCATCGAATGACTGCTCCCGCCTGGGTGAGGCGGGAGGGAGTGTCAGACTATTACTGACTAAAAACTACCCCATTCCTTCTTCTGCACGTCGAGCCGGAGCCCCGGTTACCCGTTAGGTTCTCCGCGACTTCGAATCGGCATCGGCCCTGTTGGGCCCCATCTGTGGTGGTCTGATGGCTCTATGAGGTGCGCGCGGAACGCAACGCGCCGTATGCTCGGGTCTGTTTCTGGTCGGACGAGGAGCCACCCATGCTCACCATCCGCAGGCCCGCGCTTACGGTGGCCGGAGATCGTCCCGCGATCCCCGACGCCCGGTGTGTCCTTCGCGATGGCTGAGTTGCGAGGAGGCAACGCTTCGCTGCC